CTAGCGGCAACTGATTCTACCCATGCAACCAACGAAGATCCAGATCCAATAATGGTCAGCACTGTTTACCTTTCAGCCAATACATATCATAAAAAGGATTAATGTACTTGTCAACGCTAAAAGATGAACAAGTTCATTTAGAATATTGATAAGATATGCGTGATGAGGGTTTATTAATTATAAAAGCAGTTTGATAATTGCATATATGATATGATATCATATCATATAATATGTTTGAATGATAATTGACCTTGTATCAAATAGGGTTTTTGTTCAAGGTATGATGATTGTCAATCTTTCATTCATAAATCTGATAAAACACTTTTTTCATACTCTCATTATTTGCTTTAAAAGGTAAGTGTGATCATTTTAATAACATTACTACAAAAAGCGTTTAATTGAATTTATTTAACGTACGTAACTTACCTGTCTCAGTACCTGCAAAGAAATTGTTATTTTGAAAGGAAAGCATGATTGATGTAAGGATAACGTTTAAAGATAAATTATCAATTCATCATAAGTCAAAATTCGTGCTTTAAACTAGGTTATTTGAATTGATCCAATGTATTCAACGTTACGAGAACACTATCTCATAAAAAATAATTATCTAATACTTAGTCCTATAATACATCGCGAAATCCAATGACATAAGATTTTACTTAAGAATACATTTAACTGGTCCTCAAATTATCAATTTACAGCGACGGGAACATACATATGAAATCGACAGATATTTTAAATCTAAGTTAATTATGTGGAAGGAGAATAATACCTATTTGTTGGCCAGTCATGATTTATGTATAATATCAGAGCAATTCCAAGTTATTTACGTGGCAATTGAATTTTGATATCTCAAAAAATTAGCTTGGTCAAAACACAGCCATCTAAGGACAAAGCATTATCCTCTGAGTTGCAAAAATAGTTTGATATTTACAAACTACAACATGTTTTATACTTGATAAGTGTCACCTCACTATATACATGTATGTAATGGCTGTTGACAAGGCCATCGAATTCTAATAAGTGTAATAACTGTAAGATAGTCTCAGCGTCGAATCAACATCGCTTCAATGGATCATGTTTCTGAACCATTTACCCCGGTCAAATCATAAATAGAATATCAATAGCGCAATGATTTGTCGGGAAAAACACAAATAATTCTGACCAATATCTATGTCAGTTAAAGGTAATGTTTAGGTCATTGGTCTCTTAATTAAAAAAAATCATACAATAGTTATGTGACAATATGATATGATAAATATGATATGATATAATATGATATTGTTACTTTGATGTGAATGATATTTTTTGTCTTTGTCCCTTTTATTGCTGTTCTGACTTTTTTTAAAATAATAAATGGTATTTATTATAATACTCTTACAAATATTATTTCACTTTGGACTTCTTTATATGAGAATGTAAGTATAATTTGTCGATGACCAATTTAAGTGTGTTTACATTTTTATCAACTTATGCCCATAAATACACTTTACACTATGATACGGTTTTCAATGTACTTCTTTTCCAAATTCCCCTTTCAAGAAGTGCTCGTCTCGAAGAAGGCACACGGCAGGTCATGGTCAAATCATCCCAAGTACCAAGTGATGCTTTGTTAACCTGTCGAGGATTTCAATTTATCGATGGAATCTACTTGCATAATTTGTCGTTTTCTTTCTGTTAAGAACCAAGAATGGACTGGCAGAAGATTCAGCAATAAAAGACAGCGCTGATGAGGGTAAAAACACCATATAAAAAGCGGAGCCATACATACCTGCCTGTATAAACTAAAAAAATATAATGCTCACTTAAAGTTTCCATAGAAAATAATTTTCAGAGGATGATTATGAAGGTAGTTTATACATTGAAAATATCATTATTGTTTTACAAAAACAAAAATTAATAAAACAAAGGGTAAAACTCATGAGAGAATCGGCATTGACGAAGCGTTTATTTGGCCTTGGAACAAATAATATAAATATATTTTATAGTTTTGTTTTGATAAAGCCTGTCATAATGTAATTACAAGTAAACAATCCCCTGATGGCATTAAGATAATGATACTGAATTGATTAAGTTACAGCTTGACGTCATTGAACATTAATAGCAAACAAGAGCATTTTATATTGTCCATCATGTTAATTGAAATATTGCTGTCAATTTTATTATTCAAATATTATTTTCTGTGGTCTATAAATAATAATTATTTCTCAAATTTTTCTTCATTAGAAATACTTATTGTATATTGTAAAAAAGTTTGTTGTGTATATGTAACCGTTCTTCACTGAAGCATTATGATGGTTTTGAAAATAACTATGAAATACGTCTCTGAAAATTGGAATTGCGACAAATTAACTTTGAAAAAGGGGAAATAAGACCTTATAAGCACGTCCAACGGTAAAATTGAAAATGTTGAAGTGAGTTTTTTCATGGACGGTACATGGAAATGCAACCTAGCAACGGTTTTAGCAGAATTCAACATTAGCCTGAAATTACAAAATTTGGAATGTAGAAACATCCACAGGTCAAGTCTTACTTACAAATGTGTGTCAATGAAGTCGTTCTTTAAATTCCTAATTTTTATAAGGTTCCGGTTTAGATAGCTTAATATTAACTGTATCTAAAACAGTTTATAATGGTAACATGTAGCTTAGTGGTTATCAGCAAATTGTGTTTTTTGTAGATATTTAATTGAGAGGTCAACTAGAGTTCACTTTTCCCAATAGACGCTATTCATGTATCATTTCCATTTGTTTGAAGTCTTCACTGGAATTTTTCAGATATGAACTGATGTTTTTACACTGACTTTGCCAACAATTTAACCTGAAATGTTATCATTTTTATTTTCATAATTTTTTAGGGGTGTATTGTGCAATTTTCAAAATGTTAGTCGTTAACCATATAAAGTCAAGGAGATGGACACTTGTCTAGTTCACACGGAAGGCACTATGTTTTTAAACTTAAGTACATGAAGCGCAGTTGCATACTAGCTTTAACATTTTAAAAAAACGTTTTAATTGCAAACAAAAAGGACATGTAAAGAACTACTCATAAGAATATTCAAATGAAATTTTCTATTGCTCAATATTTAAAGTGCATGCATTTCTCGACAATGTGCCCATTGTAGACCAATCCTTTTTAAGAAGCATTTTTCATCTTGAGTCGACATATATATTGGAACATACCTTTATGTCCAACATTTAACATTTACTCAGTCTTTATTGTAATTTATTACAACCAGCTTACTTAATTAATTACATCTTGCGACATCAAACGGAAGTGTTGCGACACTTTACGGCAAAGGAGAAAATCGTGGGACATTTAATGTTACCATTGCGACATTGAGTGGCAGAAGATTTTGCGACATTTAGCGGCAGTTTCGACATTTAGCGGCAATGGTGAGACATTCAGTTGTTAGTGCGACATTTAGCGGGATTGCGACATATAACGGCACCACATCCGCCGAGTAAGAAATGGGTGAAAATTAGACTCAAAGATAGGATTGTCTAAGTATCTAGAAGTGACCTTACAATTAGTGGTTTTCTCGCCCCGAATCCCTGTTGGTTTAAATCTCTCGAGTGAGTTTTGACTGGATATATCTAGCTAGCTGTCGGAAGGTCAGTGCCTGCTCGTGCCTGAAATAATGCACTGAGGCGCACCTTAGGTGTTCTTCACCAGTAAAGCTGGAAAGTATCCATATGACTCGACCCTTATAGGTATCGAAAAATCATTAAATCAATAAGGAAAAAAAATCATTTAAAACACATACAAGATATTGCTCTAAGAATAGTAAACTTAATATTGCCTTAGCAACATTACAAATTTTGATTTCATGCAGACAATAAATAATATTTCGTTCAATCAATTTCTATTTTGGATTTTTATTGTTACTTGATATGGCGTATAGTTGAACAGCAGACCGTATGTCATTCGAAAAGTAACAAAATTATTGTGTCTGCAATTTTTTCTAGATATATCTAATATATAGCTGTAGAAAAAATGAGTCACAAAATAACAGTTCATGTTTTGTACAAAGTTTGTGAGGAATGCCAAAACAATAATATCGTCAATGTAAACAGGCAAACAACAAAATTACACGAAATTGCAACCTCGGTTGAGGGATAATGAAAAAGTGCAACATCCTTTTCGCCCCCTAGCACCGACTGAGAGCGGTATTCAATTTTCAACACTTAAGTGTTGGAATCAATTATCACGAAGGACCAGAAATAATGGTTTAAATGGATGCAAGTGTAAGATGCATGATAAGATGTTTTATAGCAGAAATGATAATAAAATGTTCTAGAACAAAATATTGTTAATAATCATATAAATGTTCACAATAAACCACCAAAAACATTATCAACATTTCTTTTTCAAGCAATATTTTTATGAGAATATCCAAAGATTCTTTTCTATTGTTTTATCAATTATATGAATTTCTTATAGAAAATGTACTCATTATAGACAAATCCACTTTAAAGCAGTAGAATAATACAGACCTTTGAACTATTGTCTTCATATATACATATGTAAGAGAATGAACCGTGGCGCCAAGAGTCAAAAATGGAATGCCCAAAATAATTCAATAATTCTCGCAGTTGTAATAAAATATTCTAATACATCACTGTCTTTTTTAAAGTGTTTAAACGATTATCAGAAAGTCTTTTTAATCACTTTTCCCAAATGTCATTGGTTCCAAAGAAAAAAGGGCGATTCAAACAACTCTAAAAGAGTGACGTAAACTGACTGTAGCAATTTGTTATAAGCGCCTAGTAAGTACATGCGACTTGTTGGTTGACCAACATTAACGAGTGGTTAATTACATGCTAATGAGGACAGTTTATGCGAAGCAGACTGTCAGACATTTTCAAATCAATGTATTCTAATTTGACGAAAAAGTAGGTCAAAACTACTGGTAAATTACATGTATATGTTTGACACAAGCAGATATGGAACACAGGGAAAATACGTGTATACGTATCTACATGTATCATGAATAAAGCTGTGTTTAATAAGTTTTATTACAGAGATGTTTGAAATGTTGTTTATCAGATTTGTAGTCCATCTGATTTTGATTATGATTCTTTAACATTTGAAGTAGCAAATTATTTTGTACTAAATGAGCTCAATATTTATATAATATATGTAACAAAAATACTATACAAAAGACCAACATAGACTTAACCATATCATGAAATGTTGCTTGTTAATTCTCTCTGACATAAGCTTTCGAGATATTAAAAAAATACAATTTTAATGTAACACAAAATTGATGTAGGCCTTTTATAATGCTTCTTTTTCAATTTTTGATTTAATAAATTTAAGAACTAGTAGGACTGACCAATCAAACAAAGCTATCATATTAATCACGTGACCAAAAATTCAGTTTGTATCATGGTAATACTGGCAAATGACTTGAGCACCTAAATATATAAATCTTAAAATAAACTTTCATATTGGCGGAAGTTGTATATTACTTCTGGATTTGATTCTGTCTGTCTGCACAATTTGTAATGTTTGTAACCAGTTTTCACATTTATTTACTGTTTCAGTAACTTCCGGTTGAATGCTCCTCCGTCCACGAACTTTATGATGTATTTTACCCACATCCTCTTTTGAACTTTTAAGAGACTCATCCTTTGATTTGATTTCATCAAACTTATTCAGATTTTCAACACTTAGCGGAACTTTTTTGGCAGTTTCACTGGTAGACTTCTCCGTAAGGCTATCGATAGACGAATCTCTACTTAAAGCACTTTGAATTAATTGTTTTCTAAGTAGAAGTCTTGGGGACGTAAATGGTGACGTAAATGTTTTGTCGGGTGACGACAACAACGATTCACGAGAAGAGAACGCGCTTCGTCGACTTTTTGGAGTAGACGGCGGTGTTGGTGTATCCGAAATTTGTCCATTTTCTACATATAACTTCCTCTGTAACACAGGCGATGGGCCTTGAACGAAAACACATTGTCGTTCTAGATAAGGAGCACTTAAACCTGTGTTTATATCATCAGTCGTCTGCTCATATGATTCAGGACGCGTTTCTGGATCCTGATCAAGGAGTTGAGGACAGGAATTAAATCTCGATATTGATTGGCTAGAACTTCGTCTGTCTTGATAATTATAATACTCATTAGCATAGTCATCAGCATCAAAAGAGTCGTCTGCTCCTCGGCTTAGTTTTCGAGACACTTGTAAATGAGATAATTTCCTGGGCGATTCTTTGTATTTCTTCTCGTCAGTCATTGTTAATTCACAGTCACATTAGCATTCTGAAAAAGATGAATATTTCATACAATTGATACATCTATACTCTACTTACTGTACATGCTTAATTTGTCCGAAACTTTTCAAAAACCTTGATTTATTTCTGAATCAAAAGATTCTTTTGTATACTCTGACAATAACTTTACTATCATTTTTGTTAATGATGATAATACATCAGCAAAACAGATGTCAAGAATTCCGCCTATTTGGTGGGTATCATTTTCTCCTGCTTATAATGAAAAACGTTATAAATAAGTTGTCTCCCTTCACACAGTTTCTAATTACCAGACCTGTATAGTTTTATCATTCTGTATAATTATTTAAATGTCAGTAAGCCGTCTTTCCCATTAAGTTTTATATAGGGGTTTGTGCTAGATCAATTGTAGAAATGTCAGATGAAACACAGAGCAGAGAATCAACTAATAATGACTAGAAACTACAAGACAACACAATCAAATTAAAAGTTTAATATCTTTACAAAGTGTCGTAAGTCATCTGAGAATATGTTTTCCTGACATTTTCAATTCCGTTAAGACGACTGTTACAATTCACTTATTTCGAACACACCTCCAGTTGAAAATATTAAGTCTGATTTTGTGATGTCTGAGATTCAGCGTATATCAGAGAGTATTAATGAAACACTTTCACATTACCATATATATTCTTTCAAATTGCTAACTTTTCAATTATAGCTGGGAAATTAATGTCAAATTGTTAAAAAAAACTTTATAAAACAGAATCTAGTTTCACTTTAAACATAGAGAAACAAAGTATTTATTTAAAAATAAAGAAGTATGAAATATTGCTTAAAAACAAGCAATGCATACACGTGAATAGTAGTAGTAGTAGAAAGTAGTAGTGGTGGTGGTGGTGGTGGTAGTGGTAGCAGTAGCAGTAATAATAATAATAATATTATTAATAATAATAATAATAATAATAATAATAATAATAAAAGAAGAAGTACAAAACTAATTGGTCCCTTTAAAGTTTTATGGAATTATTGCATTCCTGTCACTTAATGGTAATTCAAACCTCAACTTTTGCAAATTCATAAAAAAAAGAAGATGAAAACATTGCTTGTATCAGAAAAATAATTAAAGCTGTATTAGCAAATCAATATTAATTTCCGAGCTATAACTAGATTCAACAGTACGTCGCTATAGCTGTATTTTATGGTCATTTATCGTCAAAGAATATTTAATGCTTTCCCTCTCTATAAACTACATTAGAAAAGAAATATATCAGGATGCAATTTGAAAATGAAAATCAAATGTTACAAAAGATAGAGAATGATGGTAATTATCGAATGAAATGCTTTTGATATTATCACGTCGATTGATTTCGTAGAAAATCATTTTATTGTTTGATTAAATCAATCAAAATGGATTTAATAAAAACATAAACGACATAACTTGACAAAAGTAATGATCGGGTGTTATTTTACGGACGCAACACGTCAACGTAAAAAAATCTGGAAACAAAGTGATCCCTGGGAAGCAATAATCACAACAAAATTACATGAAAATTGCAGACTCGGTTTGATTGAGTCTGTACATGAGGGATAATGAATAAGTGCAACATCCCTCACGCCCCCTAGCATCAATGATCCCGAAGGACCAGAAAAATATATGAAAATCACATTTAAAATGAGGGAATAAAATAGAGTACAATACTGTCTGAGTGGCCAATTCAAGCAAAATTTAATGGAATGGTATTCCATATTAAAATATTAATGGCCTTTTTATTGGTATAAAATCTTGACAAAAAAACAATATGTTTCTTATATTGTTTTTGAATAACTATTTCTCGATATGGAATTGTAAATGCACACATATAAAACCATGATATGGAATTTTGATTTAGGAAATACATGTTTATTTTAGTAAATGGCTACAAATAGACGCTGCTGTAAATGTTTTAATAAATATTTCATTAATTTATTTTTTAAAATTTAATTCATCCAATTATTAACATATAATTATAATTTGAACAGTGTATAACAAGTTTAGTGTGATTGCCCAATCGAACTCAACCAATTTCAATATGCATGAATATAGATGAACACAGCGTACCGTTAATACTTAATTAAAACATTGGGATAATAATTCTGAATATGAAATATTCGACAAACAGATATACTAACAAACAATTATATTGATGCATTTATCATTCGACCGGTGTAAGCTAGGAAAACCTTTAGTCATATGATCAACGTAATAATAGTTCAACCTCGGTTGGCTCGAACTACCGATCTCCCCAACAAATTTGCACAGGCCCTCCGAGTTCGAGCGAACGAAGTTCGACTGTACTACTATTATTTTTATAGATCCTATATCAATGGTTATGTCTAAATGGTTAGTTAGGAAACTAAGATCAACATTTCATGGGCTACACGTGTAACAAACGTGTAGAGAACTAAACAAACATCACCTAGAATGAGCATTTCAAAGTGCTATTATATATGGTGCCATGCTGTATGTTTGCTTCGTGGGGCGCCATTCGGAATCACGAAAATATGACAATGTGATCATTTTGTCGTATTTTCGCGGTTTCGCCTGGAGCCGATCACTTTGTTGTATTTTCGTGTTTTTGCCTGGAGCCCGCGAAGCGAAAGCACGACAAAATTGTCACTATGTTAACAACCACCATATATCATTGTATGGTCTGGTAAAATAACTGTCTAGATCAGAACAAAAATGTTATCAGGACCTCGTTCAGCTGGATTCAAATTTACAATCGAGCAAGCAAAAATGTAAACATCAAGACAGTAAAGATTAGCTGATTAAAGTGAGAATCTAAGTATGCTGACATGTGATTAATATTTATAACCTGAAATCACGTGACCAAATGTTTCTAGCACGATAAGGTTGAACATTACTAAATTTAATCCAATACGAAAAAATAACAACATAGCTAAAGCGTTAAAAGCAATTCTTACACACTATTCAAAATGCCATTGTTTATTATACACTCTGATATTTTAGACCTGTCATAAACAATTGAATGTTTTGTTCTGAAAACTGTAACAAGTACTAATAGTCTCTCAGAGGAAATTTTCTGCGTCAGATCCTTAAATGAAAATCGTCATCAGCCATCAGAAACATTCCAAAAGAATCTTTTTTTGTATTTTCTGGGAAAATAACAATGCCTTTGAACGGGCACACTCACAAAGAGATTAGCTAAAGTCTTTAATGATATTGACGTTATTCTAGTAACAAATCAACAAACCCATTTACGGCTATTTAAACAAATCTGCATTTGATTGACGTTATTGATACGTAACTATCTAAAGGACATGTTCTTTGTAGGAGTGGACACGAGACCCGATTCCAGTACTCGATTACTAGGTCATTCTTCTGATCGAGTATCCGGCTACACGGGAGATTCCTTAAGACATTTAAAGTGTATAATCAATATGTTCCTTCTATTTTTGTCATACCCGTGACGAAAAGAAGACGGTATTTATAATATTAATATGACACCGTCCGCGACGCAGTTTCGTTTATTTGTATTATTTTTTTATTTCTTTTTTGATACACAAACTTGACTAATACGTTTATTGTGAGGTTGCAAATAATCAAGTAATGGAAAAAAGAAACAAAGTACAAAAAACACTTTACATAATCATATTTTGAATTTTCATGGGATGGCCCGCTTAGTATATAGATTCTATATAAACCGTCAGCACATTGCCACCTCAAGATCCCTGACTTTTTGAAAAAGTTAATAATCAGACTTAACAGTCACAGAAACTACGAAGATCATTTATCTTAAATAGACCATATTCTCATGCATATCTCACAAGAAAACTAAGAATCATATCTGTGATATGATTAAAGCAGCGTGCCTCCAGATTTATGGTATTATTCATGAAAATTTTGAAAATGTATTGAAAAGTAAAATATTGTCAAATAAACAAAGAGAGTAATTTACACATTGTACACAATCAACGTAAAATACTAAATAAAGGTCAAAACATGCAAAAATAGTCATTACTGCGGTAGTAACGCAGTAGAAAAAAAGTTTTTAAAACTGCAAAATCAGTCATTTATAGCATATAACAGGTAAATCATTAAACAGCAGTTATTAGTCTTGGAACTTTGAATAGGTTTCATTTATTTGGAATAATTTTTATTGAATCAACAAAAATTGATTTATAGATTGAGTGATACACTTTAATTGGTTTTAATCTAGTATATAGAACCATCATATCAAATGATACATGTACAACCTTCATATCAAATGGCAGATGTATGTTATTCATCTTAATTGGATCTAAATTGGATCTTGGAAAAATGGTTATTGTAAAAAATCAATTGACAAATACAATGATAGAAGGAAATTGCACTAGCAAAATTAATGAGAAAATTGGAAAATTGCAGACATTTAATCATATCTGTATGAAACAAGAACTTATTTTTTTATCAGGATTGTCTAAACGACGATAAGGTCTGAATACAGGACGCACTATCTGTATAGATGATATAAACTGATGACATATGTTTCTGTACTTGAAATATAATAAAAACATAATCTTTTTATTCGTTTTTATCTGCATAAACGCAAAACAAACACTTTTGTTGACAGTCGGCCTCAAATTGCATGTTTAATTAGCATACAAATAACCAAAATAAGAAAAAGTTAACATTTGTATCACACACATACAAAATATATTTTATTGTTATTTTTGTAAAAAACAACATATTTTCAAATAATGCAATATCTCGAGCTATTAGGTTTCGTGAATTGTTTGCCCGTCATATCGTTACAGCACGTTAAACCAGTTTAGCCCTGTGCCAAACAATGTGAAATTTTATAATGCTGCACGTTTGTAACGTCGGATTTCAAAGGACAATTGTGATTTTAATATCAAATATTTGACATCATACGGCTGCTAATTTATGAATCCTTACATTTAAACGAAGAAGGCAAATGTGCAGTACTATAAACTATACGCTTTATATGTACGTGTATCAAAAGTTGTTTGCACGCTTAACACCGCCAT